AAAAAAAAAAAAAGCAACTAGATCATCTGTTCCAATCTTATCTTTGAGAATCCTTAAAAAAAGCCTCATGATTCAAGTTTAATCCAATGATGATCAAATCATCACCGTTCGATCAATGCTAAAGTAGATCATGACGTAGGGTAACATACACCCAATAAATGCTCCAGGCAGGTGGGCACTCTCAATTGACGTGACACCCACTAAACATTATCCAAAACAAAGGGCACTTCCGTCATTCCACTGATGTATTAAAGTGGGCAGATCAATTAATCCACAAACCAAACACGCCATTAACCTATTACACCAACATTGCCAACGAACCAACCGGCTCGAAACGACGCCGCTCCCTGTCCCATTAGCAGATTTTTCCTTGGGAATATCATTTCCCCTCCCCAAAAAGTCCTCCCCACTTCGCAGCCGCAGTGACACTGAAAGCGATAAAACAATCCGTCGACGATCATCATAAAGACAAGAAAGGAATATCTCTGGAATATTTTTAGCGCTTTTAAGCCTTAAACCGCCTCCGACCTCGGGGTCTTCAATCATCATCGGCGGCGGAGTTCCACATGCGGTTTAGTTCGGCGAAGTGATATCAGGGAGTTTTGTGTTTTTTCCGGATAAGGCTAAATCTCAAACTGAAAGGGATGGATCGGCCGCCGGTGACGATGGGACCTGGCATGGATATGCCGATCATGCACGACAGCGACCGTTATGACTTCGTCCGGGATATCGGGTCAGGAAACTTCGGGGTGGCGAGGCTCATGACAGATAAGGTCACCAAGGAGCTTGTTGCTGTCAAGTACATCGAGAGAGGCGATAAGGTTAGTTTATAACAACTATTCTTTCTGTTTCTATTTATGGAAATCGATTGGTTTGGATAATTATAGCAGTATTAATGGGAGTTAAAAGTTATGTTTGGTTTACTTAATTAATGGCAAGTGCAGGTGGCTTCTATTTTCTTTTAGTATCTTTTTTTAGTTTTAATTTAAACATGAATTTTTACTGAAATTTCAGCCATTAATTTGTTGGAAGACGATGTGAAGGTCGGAAATCTAATTAAGAATTATTTCAGTAAAATTTGATCTATTTGATGAGTGAAAGGAGATGTTGGGAGGCAATCAGGCAATAGTTAATCTTGTCCGCAGGTGAAGTAATAGTTTCTTATTAAAATTGATTACTGTTTCATTGTTGGGAAACAATTGGGTGTGGGGCTTCTTCCTGGATTAGTGGATAGTGTTCATTCAGGTCAATAATGAATTCAATTTGGATTTCGGCTGCGCAGTTAATGGTTGAAAAACGGGCATAAGGAATTCGCCCGGGGATTGGTTTTGACTAGTTGGTAAAATGAGAGAATGCCTGGCTTTGAATTAGTTTAGGCAATAAAAAGGACTTGTGGCTCATGAGCACTAGGCCTTTTAATTGATTTTGTGCCATTTTAAATGAGAATTATGGAAGTTTGAGGTCACCTCTCTTCCTTGTTGTGGTTTTATGCGTTGCAGATTGATGAAAATGTTCAGAGAGAAATCATTAATCATAGGTCTTTGAGGCATCCCAACATTGTTAAGTTTAAAGAGGTAGTTTATTAATGACTCTTTTCCTTTTTGTGGCAATATCTTTTTCGTAGTGGCAATGGCTTAATTTGCTACTTCCTAAACAATGCTGCTGAAGGTTATTTTAACACCTACACATTTGGCCATTGTAATGGAATATGCATCTGGTGGAGAGCTTTTTGAGAGAATATGCAATGCTGGGCGCTTCAGTGAGGATGAGGTTTTCATTACCATATCTTAATTTATTTTATCTTATTTTCCATGTGTGTGTTTTGTTATGGTTACCATACTCTTGTTTCTGGTTCAGGCTCGCTTCTTCTTTCAACAACTTATATCTGGAGTCAGCTATTGCCATGCAATGGTATTTGTTCTTTCCCTTTTTTTTCTTTTTTTCTTTTTTTGGTTCTGAAAATTTATTAGTTCTTTGTGCTTATTGGATGCAAATTTGACAAGTTTTTTGCTCTGTAATATGATTTTTCTTGATGAAGCAAGTATGTCACCGGGACTTGAAGTTGGAGAACACTCTGTTGGATGGGAGCCCAGCTCCCCGGCTAAAAATTTGTGATTTTGGGTACTCCAAGGTACAGATTGTCCTCTTGCTCACCTTTTTCAATTTCTAGTTAAATGCTAATGTTTCTTGAACCAGTGGTCTCAATTTTGAGTTGAAAACTCCTGGTTGTTAGGTCATGAACTTCCTAGAGTTTTCATCATTAACCGACTAGTTATTGCTCCCACCTGACATAAATGTTTCTGCACTTTGAAACATGGAGAATTATAAAATTGTGTTCTCTGTTAGGGGATTTGCATTTATCATGGCTGAACCTTATCACCTGCGAAGATCGTGGCATTTAGCTGGAAAATGGCTCCAATATTTCAATTTAGCATATCCGCATATATGAATAACTATTCCTTGCTTAACTAGTCTTGATTATCTTCCATGCCATAAGTTGCTTCTATTCCTGTTTTCATCTGGTGCTTCCAAGGAACATTGCATGTGACAGTTAATTGTAGGTTTAGGAAATTCCTCTACAGTTGTTGATATATAGGCATTGTCTTGTGTTTTTGTTCTGATCTATTGTTTTTCCCTTTTGAAGTGAATCATATTGGTGAGTGTTACATCCTGTGACTCCTATCTTCTTATTTATCCATGACCATTCTAGATTAATGTCTCTCTGTGGTTGTTTTCACAGTCTTCAGTTCTTCATTCGCAACCAAAGTCTACTGTTGGAACTCCAGCTTACATTGCTCCTGAAGTACTACTGAGGCAAAAATATGATGGCAAGGTATATTTTATTAGATAAGTGAGATTGATAATAATTGCTGGTTGCTTCTTTGTTTGTTCTGGTAAATGTGTAGGTTCACTCTTTTTATACATGCATAAATTCTCTTGGTAGAACACAGATGTCTAATAGGCTGATATGCTGCTTTTAACTCTGTAGTTGTGATTTAATGCTCCTTTCTAATATGTAGAGAGTTAAAAGAGGGAGGTCAATTTTAGTCTCTTTAGCTTTTTTCTCACTACCTAACTTGAGCCATTTATGGCACAACTCTGGATTTTGCATGCATGTCATTATCAAACGGGTAAGTTTTGCGGTAGGCATCATGTTTACACCGAACTCTCTCCGCCTATCTTTCATATGCTCATTTTCGTCTTCAAGCAAGTTGTACTTTTGGTTCCATACTTATTTGAATTGATGTATATTAACATTACAACGTAATCATTTAAAGTAGAAATATTCAACTGTTTTGTCATTCTGTTATGATATCAGATTGCAGATGTGTGGTCATGTGGTGTGACTCTCTATGTGATGCTGGTCGGGGCATATCCTTTTGAGGATCCTGAAGAGCCAAAGGACTTCCGAAAGACAATACAAGTATATAATTAGACCTTGGTACTGCTTTTATGTCTTTTCTACTTGCGTTGGTTGACTGAAGACATGTCTAATTTGTTTCATGCAGAGAATTCTCAGCGTTCAGTATTCCATTCCTGATGATGTTCAAATATCTCCCGAATGTCGCCATTTAATTTCAAGGATTTTTGTTGCAGATCCTGCAGCTGTAAGTAATTTTTCTTTAGCAAATTTTGCTAAAATTTATATTAACCCCAATTGATACATGATCTGACAGCATGTCGTGGAAACAGCTTCTGGAAGCAGTTGAATAAAATAATAATGAAATATAGAAATTGGAAATATTTTGTTGCATCATTTTTTAAAGCTTTTCTTGCCTTCTTTTCTAATGTAGTGCACCATGCCAAAATTTTAAATCAGTGAAGTATCCTGATGTTCTAGCCAAAAAACAAAAAATAAAAGGTTTCCTGATATTTTATGATTTCATGTAACAGAGAATTACAATTCCTGAAATTAGAAACCATGAGTGGTTCTTGAGGAATCTTCCAGAAGACCTAGTTATGGATGAAAATAGGATGGGTAACCATTTTGAAGAGTCCGACCAACCTCATCAGAGTGTCGATACAATCATGCAGATAATTTCTGAGGCAACCATACCAGCGGTGGGAGCTCATAGCCTTGATCATTACATGACAGACATTCTTGATGATGAGGACATGGATGACCTGGATTCTGAATCTGAGCTTGATGTTGACAGCAGTGGGGAGATAGTCTATGCAATGTAGTACTAGGAAAGGAAGCTGCTACATCATCATGCAGTTCTTTCTGGCATACAGATGTGTTGAATACCAAGCTGAAGAGAAATTGTGGAAGGTGCCTGGTTTATTACCATGGACAGATTGTGAGGAAGTGCAGAATACTGGTTTCAGTTATCATATGATCTTTGAATACATCACTCTCATATCATGAAAGGTCTGTTCAGTGTGGAAGAATTTGATATTTAATGCTTTAAAAAGGGTTGTAATTGTGCTAAAAATGCTATAAATGGATCATCCTGCTCTGTTGTCCATCATATCTTCTTTTCTACCCACCCCTAGTGTCCTCTCTCTTCACTTGTAATTTTTGGGTGGCTGCTGTAGGCTTTGGTTCTGTTTGTTGCATCCTATATATATGTCCAGCAACATTGTAGAATGAAACATGCATGAAACTGTTTCAAAACATCAGGAATCTGTTCAGCCCCACCTGGAGTTTAGTTTGTTTTCTTCTTAACCTTCTTTCCTCATTTAAAAAAAAAAAATTAAATTTTAAAATTTTTTATTCTTTATTTCTTTTATTTATTTTTTAAAAAAACAGGTTTTGGTCTTTTGTTTTGGAAGAGGAAGTTCCTCCTTCTTTTTTTTTTAAAATAAAAAAATGTTCATCGGCTAGACTATTAATTGGGTTCAACACCTAACATCTATGAGGTATAGTTTAACATTAGTTTTGCAGACTAAGTGAGAAAAAGCCACATGAAACAAATGATAAGAAATTTATGAGCCACATATAAAGAATATTACTTATTAGTTTTAGATTATATATGTGCGAATTCTTTTTGAAATTTATATGTTTCTTGTCTACTTATTTGATGTAGGATTTTCCAACCTAAGCATTTTCAATATTGATACAAGACTATATTAATTCAAATAAAATCATAATCCCAATGACTTCTATCAAAAAGAAAGATTATATTGATTCAAATAAAATCATAGTTCCTATGACTTCTATCAAAAAGAAATAAAAGATCCTGGTGACCAAATTTAGATGTACGAATTCAGAAATTCACAATTCACAAATACAACATTTAAAAAGGTTGGGGACCGAACTAAATTGTTCTTAAAAGGTTGAGGATTACATCAAAAGTTTACTCTTGTTGTGAAAATAAAAACAATTGCATTTCCTTGGGCCTTAACAAAATAATTGAATTGAAACTTTTACTTGCCAAAAAAATGTAAACTCCAATTTCTTCGCACAAAAAACAGTTGGAACTGGGAAAGTGGTTCTGTTCGTTGCAAACTATGAAATCCAGAATCTGTGTCTCCCGCTTACTGTGCCTGAAAAATGTAATCTCTTCTGCGTTTTGTTCTCAAGCTTACGCAAATAAACCTCTCCCCCAAAGAACCCTTCTCAAATCAAGCCCTAAAGACAATCTCGTAGATCGGTTATGCAAGGAAAACAAATACAACGAAGCTATATATGTTCTCTGCGAGGAAAACCGCATAAGGGAAGCAATTCAAATCCTCAATCGCGTCAAAAAGCCATCTGCTTCTCTTTTCACTACTCTGATACAAGTTTGCCGGGAAAGCGGAGCTCTTGAAGAGGGCAGAAATGTCCACAAACACATCAAAGCTTCCGGCTTCCTACCTGGGGTTGTGATCTACAACCGTCTTCTTGATATGTATGTCAAGTGTGGGAGTTTAGTTGATGCACAGAAGATGTTTGAGCTAATGGGTGAAAGGGATTTGTGTTCCTGGAATACTATGATATCTGGGTATGCGAAAACGGGGTTGCTTAAAGAAGCAAGGAAACTGTTCGATGAAATGCCTGAGAGGGATAATTTCTCTTGGTCTGCGATGATATCGGGTTTTGTTCGCCATGATCGGCCAGAAGAAGCTTTAGAGTTGTATAGGATGATGCAAAAAAGTGAGAATTCAAAATCAAATAAGTTTACTCTGTCAAGTGTGCTGGCTGCTTCTGCTGCTATACTATGTTTACGAGTGGGGAAGGAGATTCATGGTCATATAATGAGAATTGGGATGGATTCTGATGAGGTTGTTTGGAATGCTTTGTCAGACATGTATGGGAAATGCGGGAGTATAGAGGAAGCTAGGTGCATTTTTGACAAAATGACAACTAGAGATATTGTTACGTGGACTACAATGATTGATAGATATTTTGAGGATGGGAGGGTGCAGGAGGGTTTTTATTTGTTCTCCAAATTGATGAGGTCAGGGATGAGGCCTAATGAGTTTACGTTTGCTGGGGTTTTGAATGCATGCGCTGATCATATTGCAGAGGAGCTGGGGAAGCAGATTCATGCATACATGATGCGTGTTGGTTTTGATTCCTTCTCTTTTCCAGCTAGTGCTCTCGTTCATATGTATTCCAAGTGTGGAAACATTGAGAATGCCAAAAGGGTGTTCAATTATATGCCTAGGCCTCATTTAGTTTCATGGACTTCTTTGATCACTGGCTATGCTCAGAATGGTCAGCCTGAGAAGGCTTTAAGGTACTTTGAGTTGCTACTCAAATCAGGTACTCAGCCTAATCACATTACTTTTGTTGGGGTTCTTTCTGCTTGTACACATGCTGGATTGGTTGATGTAGGGCTCAGATACTTCCACTCAATAAAGGAAAAACATGGGTTAACATATACTGTTGATCATTATGCTTGTATAATTGATCTCTTATCACGGTCTGGACGGTTTGAAGAGGCTGAGAATATCATTCGTAAGATGCCTATGAAACCAGATAAATTTTTGTGGGCTTCTTTACTTGGTGGTTGCAGAATTCATGGAAACCTTGAGCTGGCAGAAAAAGCAGCAGGAGCATTATTTGAAATCGAGCCTGAAAATCCAGCTACTTATGTTACCATGGCTAATATTTATGCCACGGCTGGTAGGTGGGATGAAGTAGCAAAAATTAGGAAAAAAATGGTTGGTAGAAGAGTAGTAAAGAAGCCCGGTTTGAGCTGGATTGAGATCAAGAGAAAGCAACATGTGTTTCTTGTTGGAGATACTTCCCATCCAAAATCCAAGGAGATATATGAGTTCTTGGGAGAGCTTTCAAAAAGGATGAGGGAAGAAGGATATGTTCCAGACACCAATTTTGTGCTGCATGATGTGGAGGAAGAGCAAAAGGAGCAGAATCTTTCGTACCACAGTGAGAAGCTAGCTGTTGCTTTTGGAATTATTTCTACTCCTCCAGGAACACCCATTAAGGTTTTCAAGAACTTGAGAACTTGTGTAGACTGCCATACTGCCTTGAAATATATCTCGAAGATTTTTGGTAGAAAAATTATTGTACGGGATTCAAGTCGGTTTCACTGTTTTGAGGAAGGCAACTGTTCTTGTAAGGACTACTGGTGATCATACTATCTAAAGGTTGTTAAGCATTTTAGCCAGATGATGAAATTCTTGATAATATCAATTCTTTTATTTATTTTGTACATATAATGGTGAACCATATAACATACAATAGCACTCCTCTTTCGTAAACCTATCTCTATCTGTGCATGATTCAAATATGAAATCTTTAACATTGAACCGTGGTCTCTTATTTAGTGGGACATCTTTGTACATTATTTCTGTTTTGGTTGCAAAGGAATCAATCTAGCTGCCATTGACATCACACGGTGTCTTACTCAGTTTTCCACAAATTTGAACAGAAGCTGCTCTGCTCTTTATATTCTTCGATAGCTCCACCAATGAATTCTCAGAAACGATGACAGGTGGAGAAAAAGGAAACCCCGCAGAGACTCAACAATTTTCTTCAACTCAGAAGCAGCCTGGTAAACCTTGATTCGACTTCCATTTGAAATCATCTTCTTTAGTTGCTTAATATGAGGCGAGTTCCGTGCAGGATCCTCCACCCTCTGATCCATCCGCAGGATAAGTTGGTCAAACTGGTTGCAAATCCGCACAGTATCCTCCCATATCACAACCTGCAACTCTAAACCAAAAAACCTACGAATTGATTCATCCAGTTTAAGGAGCTTCTTGCTGTATCTGTATTTGTTGAAGAAGTTCCAGCAGGTCACAGCAGAGCATTTATTCACAATCTTCTCAGCCTGCTGCAACAGGCCCAACAACCTATGAATCCCATCATTCTGGAGATCACTGGAGTCTCTCAGCCAACGTATTCGATGAATCTTCGGAACAACAAACTCCAGGGTGGTCTGAAGTTGTGCAAGAACAGCGTTAAATGCGAAGGTTGTGTCTAGCACACGTGAAATAGCTATGGATAACTGTCCTGCTACTGCTAGAGCAGCGTCAAATGCAATGTCTGTTGCCATTAGAGTTTTGGCAATGGGACCCTGGTTTTATAGACACGGGAGAAGTTATTTCAGACTAGCACACGTAAATGCGCTGCTTCTCGGAATATACTAGTAAAAAACAGGTCATTTTGGAAAATCTGGAAAGAAGTTTCGATTTGAGTAATGGGACTAATTAATTTACATAGACTTTTCCTTTCTTAAGTAATTTACATAACTTTTCCTTTCTTTTGGGTTCAACAGATCCAGGGAGAGAGAAAGAAATTTAAGCTATAGAGCAAAATTATAAAATTTTTTGTGAGTCATTTAGATTTTGTTTAACCATATTTTGTATAAATTATTTTCACAATAATTTTTATAAAAATGTAAATTTATTATAATTAATAAATATTTTATATTTAACTCAAAAAAATTAATAGTTTATGTACTTTTGTTAATTTTGATTGATATTTTATACATTTTTGAGATATTAAAAGACAAAAATACTTATACTTACAACATAACCTTGATAAATGAAACATTAATAGTTTATATTAATATAATTTATATTGGTTTTTAAATTAATTTTTATTTTTATGCATGTACCACTTATATCTTCCATTACAAATTTTATATTAATTAGATATATTTAATTATTTTTGAATAATATAAAATTTAAGATTAATAAATAAATAATATAAAATATAATTTTTTATAAGGTTATATATATCAAATCAACTTTGGTTTAATTGAATATAAATCATACTAAAAAAATCATATATAATTAATGTAAAAATTTATATAAATTTATCTCAATATAACTAGATCTTAAGTATTTTTTATATTTGTTCTTGTCTAAATGAAATTGCAATGTATCTATAAAAATTAGCCACAAAGAAAGAAATGATTCCTTTGTCTAGGTCTTAAATATATATAATTTTTATATATTTGAATGGCCCCTGTAATTTCCCAGCAGACGGCTAATCCACGCGGTATGTACGGGACACGCTAGAAATCTCATGCCCTTAATCCGTGTTGATTTTTCAACCAAGAAAAAAAAAAATACAAAGGAACGAAGAGAAGACTCAATCCATGAGAAAAGAGAAAATGAAATCCAGCTTTTAACAACAAAGTCAGGTGGGCTACTTAGTCTTCTTGGACTAGGTTTTCTTGTCCTTGTAGTTACTCACCTTCCTAACTAAGTTCTCCTGAAATGTTGTATACTGAACCGTGATCCTCTCCCATCCCCTCTTTAGTTTATCCTCGTACTTGACATAAGTCACTGGCACTGTCATCCCCATCAAAGTACCTGCAATAAAAATTACACAGAAAGAAAGTGCTAGAAAATTGGTAATGGAGAGAGCAACTGAAGTCCAAATGCTTCAATTTACTAGCTAAAAAAATTTAATTTATTGCTGTGTCTGTCCAAAATAGCTATGCTTTTTTTTTTTTTTATTAAATTAACAATTTAGAGATAATTTATATCATTATTTGTATTACTTTTAAAAGATAAAATAATTAATTAAAATAAATAACTAATAATATAATTAAAGCATGAAAAAAATTTTTTTACCTTAAAAGAAATAAAAATATAACAATTAATTTGGTACAAATTTAAAGTAAAAAAACTAACCCTTAATGTGAAACAAAGGAGTATTTATTAATTAAGGAATTTTTTAATTTATGTCATTAAGACATAAGTTAAACCTCATTAAATGTAATATTTGTAATTAATTATATATAAAATTTTATACTATACTCATCAATTAGAATGAAATATAAAATGTAAAATTAAAATATAATTTAATATAATATTTATACTTAAAATCTGTAAAAAAATATGAATTTGATATAAAAATTTATATAAAATTAATTATAAATATTATAATTAATGAAGTTTAAGGGCATATGTTAGACAAATCTATTAATTAACCTCTAATTAGATTACACAAATACCTGCATAAAGAAGTGTTAACAAATCACAGGAGCTTCCTACATATGACAGTAGGAATATTTCGGCTAGTACTCCTGCAAATGTAAACAGATCTCTCTCAACGCTCACATCAAACATCCATCTCACAGCTGCTTCAACTAGTGTCCGGAGACTGTTTGCAATCTCCACGGTGTATTCTTCCGAGATTTCCAGTCTGGACAGATTCGGTGGCTCTCTAAGAGGAAATACAGGCATTAACATTAGTCTTCATGCTCGAGATTTTCTTTAGGTACAGGTTACAAATTAACTTACAATACATATCTCATCTAATACACATATCAATCAATCAGAACATTTTACAAATTTATACTAATATTAATCACTGATGTAAAAATTACAAACTATACAAAACCAACGTATTGGAGCAAAGGGCCCTATACTTACGTTATAAAAAAAGTTCATTAAAAAAATATATAAAAGAGTTATGTATAATTTAAACTATTAGATAGAGATGATTTTCTTAATATTTAAAATTATTTTCTCGTCTAACTATTCTTATTTTGTAATTTAAACTATAAAATATAATTCTTATAAAAAAATAATAAAGTTGAACTAATAGACTAAAGCTGCAATTAAGTTTGGAAAAGAAAGAGAGAGCTGAACTTACCTGCCAACAAGCCTGAGTAGGTTACCCCAGAGGAATGATAATGCAGCGACGGACATGGCCACCCATGAAGCCACGGTGATGAATTTGAATTGATATTTGTCCAGCAGAACCCATATGGCTGTTGATGCTAAGAGGGTGGTTGCAGTTGCCTTCTTTCTCCTCCATAGAAATATATCTTTGACAGAATCTGCATCAGACATTAGATATGGGCTTTCCTTGCTCTGAGGATTGGTACTTAATGTTGTTGGGGAATCTGTTTCTGTATCAGACATGATGATGAGTGGAAGAAATGAAGCTGGAAGATGATGAATTGAAAAACTTGGAAGTTTGGTCTTACATTCGGTGTTTATTGTTTGCTTTGCTAGAGCTTCAATGAAAGAAAATTAGACTATTTGTGTGTTTGTTTACACGTGCAGAGTCATGGAAAGACGTGGAAGCCATGCAGCCTCTTGTGGCAATTCCTTGGAGGCTAGCTAGCTTGAGCAAACATCAGGTAACAGCATAAGTGTGTTTTTCATTTTTCTTCTTTTATGGCGCTTTTGGGGTGCGGGATAGGGAGGGAAATTAATTCTACATATATATTAATTAAATTTATTCTGAGAGACTTCGGATTATGGCTCGGTTCCCTTTATGGTGCAGCTGAAAAAAATCTTAGGTGGTAAAACAAGCCATTGATAAAGAAATGGATTAGAACAGTTTAAAATAAAAGAAATTTAAATTTTAAGGATAAAAATGATAAAAATAAAAATTATTGAATTTGATTAATATTTTTATAAGGTATTTTTTTTTTTAAAAAAAAAGCTTTTTCAATTACTGTGTGTTTACTGTATAAAATTATCAAAATTAAACTTTACATAAAAATTAAATTAAGTGGAAGACTAAATAAATCAAAAAGAATAACATTGCAATTAAGTGCCCGAATTTATACCGTATGTTTTTGTACCATATAAAGGGAAGGATTTTGCTAATGCATTACTATTAAAAGTTTGTACACCTTCATAGTAAGAGTTAGAATCTCTATTCTCCTTTTTTACCCTTCTTTCCACATGCTTAAACTACTTACATACTAAAAAAAAATAATTTGTTGTAAAAATAATGATAGAGAGAATAATTTTTTCGAGACGAAGCAAAAAACCATTTATGTGGCAAGCTATGTGTTTCTACTGACATGTATTAAAAATTACATATCCAAGTTACAAAATTAAAAGCTTTTAATCGTCCCCAATTCTAGAGCCCCACTTTCGTCCTCTTCTCCACCAAATCCTAACTAACCAGAACAAGACACAGAAGAGGAGAACCACTCAAACGGGCCAAATTAAAGATGACCAAGAAGAAGACTCAAAATCTTTTAATGGATCTCATCTATGGTAATTTCCTCTTTTGTTTCCTCTTTGAATTCAAGGAAGACCTTAAAATGCTTAAAAGAGTAGAGAGAAATCTTTCAGTAAAATCTCATGCCTGGATTTTGGGTCTAAATCCTTGTATTGTGTAATGGGAAAAAAAATCAACAAATTAACCGTAGTAGAAAGAATTTTTGAGTATTGTAACTATTATTGATTGTATGAAAAAAATTACGAATTTGAGTTTGAATCCTGCAATATGACCATCATCAAACTGAATTTTGCATCCAATTATAATTGATGATAATGTGATTCTAGTTAATCTATTCCCTCTTTTTGCCTGTTGAGATCGTTTCGATACAATTGAATGGATTCTTAC